ACAGTCTGGTTGCATGCGCCACTCCGACACACACGTGGAATCCATCGCCGCACCTCAGGCTCACCAAGCCCTCCATCACTCCAGGGTCGGCAAATTAGTACCAAACTCGTCTGGGAGGATAGCAGCACTAGTTCGATACATCGGTAGGCCACCGCGAGTCATAGTAAAGGCCAGATATGCGTTTAGTCACCTCCAACGATACTTAATGAAGTCGAATGAATGGCGCATCCCTCAGGGGTTGATCAACCCCGAGAGCTTTATCCTTTATTTATCCTTTACAGTGCCCACTTTCTACGTATAATCAAGGCTTTTTAAATTTAATTTCTAGTTTTTTTAGTATTTAAACTTCAAGTGCGATCACCTGCAATCTACTTTATGATAGCCGTTGCACCAATCTAAACAATAATCTTTCATTCACCCAGGCAACTTTTGAAGCTATTGATTAACCATTTTTTAAAACTCATAAATGTATAAAGGTAAATACCGTTTCCCTTCCATTTAAACATATCTTAGCTCATAGCAGACCTTTGCAACCAGTTTACACTTTTGTAGCCATTAGAAATGGCTATTTGCCGCTCCATTTTCGGAGACTCTTCCCTCTACCACCTTCTGTGAACACACTGGGGGCTTTTCGAAGTATATTTCGCACAAGCGCTCTTTTTTGTGTTAAGAGTGGGAACAGAAATAACGGGCCAGTATGTTTTGTTACTTCGTTCTCTCTACAACTTTGTGACATAACAGTTTTTGGACAGCTTGATTTGAACATTCAAAAACGGGTGCCACCCTTCCTCTGGATTCTTTTGGGTGAAATTTATGTACTGTGAGTGTTCATCTAACAGTGCAAAACATTTGTCCATCTACTCTTGTGCGAAGCAGAACAGAACAGATTTCTTTTATTGTTTCATGGGATATTTGTAATACTGTAGTAAGCAGGTCGCAATTATGGGCGAATTAGCAGTGATGGAAATGGCACCGAACACATCACATTGTCACTTAGTTCATAACCGCTTGCATGATCATCTATAAACACTACAGATTTGCACAATTTGTCCAAACTTTGAGCATGGTAACTGCATGAAGTCGGGTCTGATAGTCTTTGAGCTGATACAGGTACACTCTTTATCCTACGTGGACACTGTGTTCTTCCCGTCTGGATTACGAAAATACCCGAATGAGCAGATTGAATGTCACCATGATCACTAGCAGGCCTAAGGGAAGGCGTGATAGGACAAAGAATCAGCATTTGTGAAATGAATTCGTTTTATCAACATCGTGTCTGCACATCAGCAAAACATAAACGTACTGTTGTATATTCCGAGATGCTTTGAGAAGTTCACGTTGTCTCCAATTACGCTTCGTCCAAGATAACATTGACATTGCCTAGCACAGAAGTATTTTGTTTCCAGAACAAGTGGAACATCCGCCGACATCGCGTCGTCGTCGTCACCACGTTAGACATCGGGCCAAAGGAGAACGTCGAAAGTCAAAGGCAGAGAAAGTGTGCTAGTTTCCGAAGAACTCCAGCTTGCGAGAACTTATACGTATGATAAGGCCCGTCTACAAAGAAATAACGTTTTCGTGGCGAATGACCTGCGTTGAAGTTCAGATTTCCAAATATTTTGTTCTCAACTAGTCTGACGGTGGTAGTAAGCATAAAACGTAAATTATCAACTAAGTCAACGCAATATCTGATAAACGAGTTTTCTGCAGTGCTATGCTTGTACACGAAATGGTCTCAGGTTAACCTTTTTTCACATGACCCGTCAATACACTAAAAATATACTATGTGGATCCTGACGCTTCTTGCATTCAATTCGTTACCCGCGCATTCATTGTCCACAATGGTTTTCGAGCATTTCGCGTGTTGTTTCGACTGCTGCTCGAGGATTTCGACCTCTCTATGAATTTCGTAGAATGCTGATCGAGTGGAATCTTCTTGCAGCATTAGAGATAGCCGAGCTAAGGTGTTCCTACGACGGTTGGAGAGAAGCGTTGAGGAGGCGTAGAACTAGCACCCTTGTTTCCATAAAAGGCATCACTAACTACTACGTTCTACACACCTCTCCTCCTCCTATTAGGTTAATAGGATTTTTTTATTGTTAGTTTTATTTCGTTTGTTCTTTTATCATCCTGTCTCAAATTGAATGTCCCTGATCTTTGAAGAATAGAAGAAAGCAAATGGATACTCGAAACTGTCGGTCGCTTCTCATTAATTTCCAGTAGAGAGCCCTTCAGGAGTTGGAAGTGCTCCTAACAATTTCTGCTCTAATTGTGAAAATTTGATGCAAGGTGATTCTTACATTTGTACAGAGGGATAAGATGCACGAACTAAGGTTATCGATCATGATTAATTGAGAGCAATTAATGAACGGGAATGTAATTTTCCATTCGTTACACCACTTCAAGAATTGCACTGTCATCTCTTCACTTTTCATACTACAGTTTTCTCAGGTTTCTATTTTACTGGAGTAAACTAAAGATCCAAGTAGTAGCTTTAGTGGTGGGAGAGGGATGTAGGTGATTTGTCTTCCTTTTTCTTGCAAATGAGAAACGTTACATCCTAATTAGGATTATTAGGTGAAGTTGTAATAAATCGTTGTGTTAATTCGATATTCGGTGTGGTCCAAAACAGTGTTTGCCTTCGATCTAACGAACAATGATGGAGTATCCCATCTGTTAAACTTCGACGGTTGAGCCTTTGGTCTGCGACAGACCGAGTCGTGTGGAAACTGATGATTCAATTGGAAATAATGTGACAGGCCAAAAGAATTTGTGGGCTGCGGCCTCGAGCTATCTCAGTAGCAGGTTGCCGACAAAAGTGGGAACATAGTGAATATGGAGATCTAAGCAAGAGTTGTAATATGAATTAGAAGCCCTGAAATTGAAAGAAAAAACTATTTGAGAGGATGAACATCGACCTTAAGCCTCTTATGAGAAGGAAAATAGTGCACACAAATATTGTAACGGATGGCATGACTTGTGTGCAGGTTTTCTCAACAGCGCTTTATTTTAGCGCACAGAACTTTTTCAGCTCACCGCTACTGATCAATCGGTAGCTTATCCAACACTGATATTGTGGTGGATGAAGGACATAAGTTACTGCCTACACTTAGTAACTTTCAACAAGTACAGAGAAGTCCGACACTTAAAGATGTCTTATCGCTGTGATAAGTTGGTGAACTCAACAATTAACACAGCGCATATGTAAATGCAACAGTTACAACCTACAATATCCACAGTTAACATGTTTTAAGTGCTAACAAACACTACAATAACATCGCTATTCCACTTCTTCTGAGTTCTTACTGAGGCAACCTGCACAGGTGCATTTGCTGCATTGATAGCACCCAGTGTTAACACGCTTTGCTATGTATTCTAACGGATTTATACCCTGAATTATTGCATGTGCTTTATGTAACCAACACAAGGTCTATATATTTCTGAGATCACTTCATAGATACGGCTGTGCGTGTTGGAATACGAATGGGATAGGAATAGGAATGCCCGGAATTAGACATACTGGAACCCGGATCACAGCCTCAATTATGGATATTTTTGAACACCCACAACAGATCCTCCATTCGCCCAACAGTTCTGAAAGACTAAGCGAAATAAAAGCCATTTCTCTCTCTCTTTCCCTCTTCCTCTCTCTAAACTATGAGTCATCTGCTCGACTGTATCCTCCAGTTTCCTTGAAGGTAGCTCTCCACTATTAGCCTCACGAATCGCAGTTACTTATTTGGATACTTGGATGACCCGTCCTCACTGAATGTCCGAGCCCCAGCATAATCTCCATTTATCCGGAGTTTTGCTGGTTTAGCTATTATAGCTCCCTTGAGTCTCAAGGTCAGCCAGACCAAAGTTTGCCCCAGGTCTTCACCATCACAGGTAGTCGCTGTCCTTGTGGATCAGAGGTAGATTCGCCACTATGCGACTAGTTCGATACCAGGACAGTGGTGGATCCTGGTATTGGTTTGCTCTTAGCTGGTCTTTCTGGTGAAAACGCCAAAGTCCCTCTCAGCTTAGGAAGCCCTACCGGCAGATGGATCTTCCCGCTGCTCATCGCAGTCCCGCACCCGGGAACACCTTCCAGTCATGATGAGGCAGTAAACCGTTGAGAGGAGAGTCGTGGCTATCGTATGAAATAAGCAGATGTATAGTAACATACAAACACAAAGTGCGACAGACCAAAGTCTCATAATATCTGAAGCTTCCTACTCCTCAAGTGCTTTCATTATCGAGAAGTTACTGGGATTATCGAAAAACGCCCGGTTTGGGGAGCACAACAGCTCCAGTTTTTGAGAATTACTTGACTGTTATCTCAGTTCCGTAACGAATCGTTGTTATTGTATGGAATCGGCGAATACAGAAACCATAAATACAATATAAAAATATATGAAGAATATGAAAAAACAAGCAGTAAATAAAAAGTCACAAATTGTGATTTCAACTATAGCCTCAGCTTAACTGGGTTCAATGCCAATTTGTGCTCCCCAGTTGACTCCTGTTGACATGCGATTGCTGACAGCAACGTCAGGATAAAAAACTGGCCGAAGGAAAGGTAAACCAAGGGCCTCAATGGTGCAGTGGGTATTTAACACGCGAGCCCCTAGAAATGGTAACCGCGGGTTCGAATCTGGCCGGAGATCCGAGTTTTGCAAACATCTCAACATCATTGTGGTTACAAATATACGCTTTACGTGTTTTACAAAGCCTTAGGATCGAGCGAACGTCCGGAATATTGCGATGTCTCCCGATGCGGCCACCACGCACGATTAGACGTCGTAAGTGATCTAGCGCTTATTTCTGAAAGTAGATTTCTAGCGTTTGTTTTGGAAACAGAACGTCTGGATCTGTTTTGAAGATAGAATCGTTTGCTTTCTCTCCATCCATATGTTTCTGCGCATGTATATGCTTTAGTGAATGTTTTTATATTCGTTGGTGTTGGTGAATCCCTCGTTTTAGATGCTCACGAGGGAGCTGAGAGGTTTGTTGACTCGATGGGCACAAACGGGTGTACAGAAATATGTATTACAACCAGTACAGAGCATTGCTTCTACGTCCGAAATGATTGGACAGGAGGAGGTGTGTATCGTGTGATGTTGTACTTTTTTACTCCTCCATTACTCTAACGCCATCGCCAATAGAAAGTGTTTCTTCCTGAGAATCGTACTTCTTTCTAACCATTGTTTCACTTCTTCTACAAATTATATTTGTAATTCATAGCCGTTCCATCACAACTGGTAGCTTTACAGTTATGGGCTCGTCGTCTAGAACTGCGCAACCCTAAACTCCAACGGGATGAGGTGTTATCGTCAAAGGTTGTTGACGATTGTTCACGAACAGCAAGCGGTCTGTACAAATTCAGTTTTCTCTTCTTAGGTGTATTATGCTCCTGAATGGGAGTTGGATAAAAAGCCTAACAAAGATGTTGGTTTCCCTGATCCGCTAAAGAATTATGGCATAACACCGGAGAAATGGGAATACTATAACAAGGTTAGCGCATCATCAAACATTCATTGCCTTCGAGTATAATTTCTCAAGCATACGTTAATTTAAGGTGGTATGGCCTCCCAACTATGTGGTTCCAGAAACAGGATTACCGAAAGCCAGGGAAGTATTCCATTGTAGAGAATCGGTAAATCTATACTCCATTTGCAGCCTCTCTTGCTCTTTACAAAAGGAGTTGCTTTATGGTTTTTTATACGAGTGATTACAGTGTTTTCGTTTCCAAATTCCATATACACACATTTATAGCGACAGGAAGGTTTTTTGTTACCGTTACTTTTTCCATAGGTGCATTTCTCACCGAAACGCATGTGGCAAGCCTGTGAACTCGTGTGGAGAACGAATGTTGATGAGGCGATCACTCAGCTGCAGTTCCAGCAGTTGAAGGTGAGTATTTACTGCCATATATACTATTGTATACTGTGTTATAATTTGATTCCTTGAGTGGATTGGATGTGTCGATGTGCACTTCTCAATTCTGATCCTTAAATGTTTCCTTATCAGTTTATTTCTACCTATGGTTGCTGAAGGTCATTACCTTAGTTCTCTTTGTGAACCGGTAAAGGGGTGGTGATCACTATTTAGAGTTGCAAGATTCTTGGTGAAGTCTTAAGCGAGGCGAAAGAACGAGCAATGAATGAGTTTCACGTCGAATTTCCATCTGACATGTATGTAGCGGACGCGTTTCCCATCCAGTGCAATATTATTAAAGGTGAATGTCGGCACTTCACTACCTAATTTGTCTTGTTAACAATATATGTCTTCTTTTTCTTTGGTTTTCGATGTCATTGAACTTCATGGAATCGAAACTTTATTCCGGTTCTGTTTCAGGAGCGCGCCGTCATGCTCATGAAAACTGGTGCACCATTCGCTATCGTTATATTAACATCTTTGTCCGGTTGGAAGAGGTAACATTTCATGGTGTTATATGGTTATAGTATCTTCTAAGTCTTTCGTCCGTACCGCTTTCCAGGGAAGTCCTCCACCGTTCCGAAGACGAGAGAAATTGAAAAACGGCTGGGAACATATGGAAGCGTATTACAAATATCTTAGATCGCGTAGTAAGAAATATAGTATATAATTGTGTCAAATTGATGTTTTTGTTCATCGACTTCGTGGCCGCTTGATTTCTTGAAGTGTTTTCGGCTGCTAAAAAATCAAAAGAAAAAGAGGATTGAATACGATGTTCTGTTGTTGTTTCTTACTTTGGTGCATCACCCATTGCTATCTGCAGTAGTAAATGGGACACTTGAATTATTTAAACTTTCACTAGCGATTATAGATGGTTAATGTAAAGAAAGGTGTTCTGGTTACCTGTGATCCAGCGATGCGACAACTTCTAATGCATTTGGACGAATCGAGAACACTAGGCAGCAAGTTTATCGTTAAAGTACTTTTCTTCTACATTGTTGATTTCAAATGAAATTAGTAAAAATTAGCCTTAATACTATTTTGGTAAAGAAAACTTCCAGTTAGATGTCCATAGTTTTGGATGTAGGAGGTAAGAGATAGGATGTGATTGAATATGCTCTTACCTGCTTGGATACTTGGATAGCCCGTCTTCAGCAGCTGTGCGAACCCAACCCCAGCATAATCTCCATCCTCCGAAAACTTGCTGGCTTAGCCATTGTGGTTCCCTGGAGTCCCGAAGTCAACCTGGCCAAAGTCTGCTAGGATATGGTTTTAGTATTTTGACATTTAGAGTTTGATGCTCAAACCTATCTTGGCTTTGTCAGTACCACGTTTATTCTTGTATTCTCCCGTGATTTTGGAACGCGTCGAGCTTTTGTTTGGGGTGAAAAGAGCTGAAGCAGGTCTGTCAGCTTAGTAGTCTCTTTTACGGCATATACGTAGTCATATTGGTTGGGAATGAAATAGCAATCACTTAATGGTCGAAATTCGTTTTTGTACGCTGAAAATGCATTGTTGTTTGCTGGGTTTTCGATAACTCCCAGTGTAGTGTGTTTTATTAAACTATGAACTTGATGGATGGTGTCATAACTTTTCTAAAGTGTAACTTTTATTCTATGTTTACTTGGGATTCGTATCTCCATGACATTGAAGGGTGAATATATCTTTCTACTTCTGTTCAGCAAACACGAGGTGCTATTTTATTTCTTTATTTACGCACAAGCTGACGTTTCGGCGGATTTCGCCTTCCTCAGAGCCTGGAAGGATTAAGTTGACAGCAATCCACTATGCCAAACACCTCCATAACCAAACAGAGAAAACGCTAAACCAAGATTTCAATCACATTTAGCATAGCTCTGCACACTCACCGCTTTCTATGAGTCTTCCACTGAGTATGTCGCGTGAAGACCGACCGCACCAAATTCACATGGAAGCGTAATGTGCCCCTCCCATCAGAATAACAGGTTTATATACTGTCCAATATCACGCGTGATAACGAGGCATTCCTCTCTGCGGTTCATTTTCGGATTCTTGGAATTAATCCAGAATGCCTCTAGAGTTTTGAAGGAATTGAAGGGTGAGTTCAAAATTTGTCCAGACGTGGAATCCGGGAACATCAATTTTGCATACTATCGTGCCTTACTCCAGAGAATTTTGTTTGTTCAATCGCTTTGCTTTTCGGATTACAATCCCAACAAAAAATTATGTTTTGTGAGCTTCATAAAATTTAGTTTTGTTATAATAAAAAAGCGCTTTTTCGCTTGCTGATGTCTGCGGATTCCAGTGGTTTTTATAGCAATGAATAAAGTTGACGATGAGGCAGTGAACCATGTGGAGTGACTTACCGTTGTCGTGGCAAAGGAAAACAAAACCCAATGATTTTGAAAGCCTAATTCAAAGAGGTGGAGTTGCAGTTGGCTCGCAAGTAATGCCATGATGCGAAGATTTAAAGCAGCTCATCTCGCGTGTATTTAGTGAAGCAGAATGTAAAACTATACTACAGGTAAACCAATCAAATCTCTTCCGTACTTATCCTTCTTATCGTGGAAAAAGTTCGATAAGTGTAGGACTTCACTATAGACATCTTACAATTCCCACGATTACAGTCTCTATTGCGAGCTTTCTATTCAACCACAATTTTTTGGCGCAGGAAAGGTCATTTTTTAGACAGTTCTATCTTATTACTTATCGAGTATATAAAATCTGTGTTGGATAATTTATGGAATGAGTTCGAAAAGTGCAGCAAAAAAATTTCCACAACAAAAACTGGGAAAACTTCAAAGAAGGTGATTGGATGCCAGCTCATACGGGCCGGTTAGGCTATCCAAGTGTGAGTAGAAAAATGCGCTCTTCGGACGTGAAATGCTGCCAAGGCCTGCACAAGACTCGAGAATGATATTATATCATTTGTCAGATGTTTGCTAACGTCTTGGTACTTTTATTGTCTAGATTCCCACGCTATGATGACTTTTGGGTATTGTGTCGATTGCGAGGGTATCAAAACTGAAGGGTAAACATCGCAGTCTTCCTTGCAGAACTTCATTGATTGCTGACAGCGTATGATTGCATAGTGGACGAAGTTTTTTTTCACTACACACCAGAGTTGTATATGTACCAAAAACATGGGAAAGTGTGTAGAAGAGTATGAAGCACACATAGGATAAAAGAAGTGGAGAAGTTCTTGCAAAACGGAGGAAGAACCCTAACTATATAGAGTTAATCGGGCGTAGCTTCCAAATTACGGTACATTTTTGCTCGGTCATAGCGAGTCGGGCAAAAAATTCGACGTCGTTGCTAATGCGTTAGCCTCGTAATATGTTCTTAGATCTACGTCTCAAGCAAATCAAATTCATTTGCGAATTGCTAATCGATGTTAGCAGTTTTTCAAAGACGAGCTGTAACTATCGGTTATCGTTCACAAGACGGTAAATGAGCCAAATGTGGAAGAACTTTGTGGATGAGTTAGACTTATTTTAACATATAACACCCCATTGTGTGTTTACAATAACTGACGGTGATTTCTCAACTACAACTAGTTGAGAAATTGAGGACTTCACAACTTCGTGGATGGTACTTGCAGTGTTGGTTTAAAGATGTGTATTGCTTTCAAAGAATCTCCTTTAAAGGTCAGACTTGTTAACGATTAAGGTTTCCTGAAGAACAGGAAGCAAAATGCCGATTTATGAGATTGCCAACGTTGGCGCTGCTGTCCCAATCACCATGCGATACATTGACTAGCAGCGTAGATTCTATTACCTTTTATCTCAAGAAATGAAGATCACTGTGAACAAAGATGTGTTGGTTTAAACATCACAGCGGCCATTATTCCCGGGTCACGCATTGAAACCAATGCATATCTGGCGTCGGATTCTAACATTGCTTTGTGTGCCGGTTGTAGCAAGGGCTGTTTTAAGCGATTGCGATAGTCGACATTGACAACAGCGATTGCAATGAGTTATATATGAGTCAGTTTCTTTCCCTTTGTTTATTTCGTCACAAAAGGCTTTTTCAGCAACTTCGTAATCTTTGACCTGTAACGCCCTGCTACCAAATTACGTATTTGGCCCAACCGATTACAAACAATTTCTTGTCGGCTGCTGACTTTCGGGGTTTTTTTGGCAGTAAAAAATAGCTTTCCAGTAACTAGAAGGCCTCAGGAGGTGTGAACACAAGGGAATTATAGAAGAGATTTCTTGTTGTATGGGTGTAAATGATACCTATGCTGCTATTTACTCTGTTTTGGCTTACTGTAGTCCATTACGCAGATGCATTGCTGTCAGCATTTCGAAGCATTTTCAACATTAATGGAATCCATTTCAGTGGCTTTTTTTATATCCACACATTCCATACGATGACTATAGCAATTAACGTGAAAGAACAGTGAATTGCTAGTCAAATTATTAGTCAATACACATCTTCGACAAAAGGGTTTTTGTAAATCATTAAGTGTAGAGAATGGTTTTCCTGATCTCACCTCTGCTGTTTTGATTTGTTTTCGATTAGCTACCGAATGAGTACGCACAGTGCGGTAAAAAGACTCTGGAAGCCATTGAACTGAAATATGGGCACCATTTCTAACACAGCACTCGGGCGTGTGTGGTGTAGTGGTCGAAGCCGCCCTGCAGTATACATGGGATCGATTTCCGCTACCGTGGCCCACCAAGCCTTCCATCCATCCAATGTCAGCAAATTGATTCTAGATTTTTCTGGGAGGATAACAGCACTGGCTCGATACATCGGTAGGTCAGTGCGAATCATTGTAAAGGCCAGATATGCAATCAGTCACCTCCAAACGGTGCTTAGTGAAGTCGAATCCATGATGTATCCCTCAGGTACTGATCAACGCCGAGAGTTTTATCCTTTCATTCTTATTTATAGATATAGAAGGCATGCGAACATTTCCCTCCGTATATTTCTAGATTACATTCGGAGTGATGTTACATTCGTTTCTAATTGGATAATCTAAGAGGTATGTTTACAAATAAGAAGATGGTGGTGCTAAACAGATATGAGAGCGCACCGTTGTCTTAGGGCATGGCAAGCTTATCAGATGAGAGTGATATCAAAATCACGAAAAATCATTTTTCTACAATAGTTTAAAGTGATAAAAAGGATAAAGCTCTCGGCGTTGACCAATCCCTGAGGTATGTGCCGTGTATTCGACTTCATTAAGCATCATTGAAGTTGAATGAATGCATATCTGGTCTTTACAATGAATCGCCGTGGCCTACCGATGTATCGAGCCAGTGCTGCTATCCCCCGGACAAGTCTGGTATTGCCGAGCCCAGAGGGATGGAAAACTTGGTGGGTCTGGGGCGAGGGGATCGATCCCAAATGCATCGCAGGGCGTCTGCGATCACTGGGCTACATGCACCCATGTTAAAGTCCATAACCTTTGTAATTAACCTTTATGTATTTACCGCTGAAACAAGCTAAACAAAGTATTTGGTAGATTTGTTTCATCTAGTTTCCACTATTTTTGACATGTATGCAGCAGGTTTGGAAGTATAATTTCCTATATCATCCGGCACATATCTTTTTTTCATTTTTGGCCAATAGCTTTGAGAACACTTGAGTGTTTGGACATTTGCATTCTATCCACTTGAGTCAAACTCGAATAATCTTGGGCCCTGAACTCACTGCACCTATGTTGACTTTTTATTCACTGCCTTTTACTAGCTTTCACGACAGGGTATTATTTATGAAACAACCACAATGATGCTGAGCTATTTGCAAAACACCGGACCGCAGGTGTCTGCGGTGGGAAACGAGCGCGCCATTGTCCTTTCCGGGGAGTAACGCGCTGTCCACCACACCATGCGGGTCCTTCGTTTCGCCTGTCTCTCAGCTAGTTCTATCGATCACGGCCATCAGCAATCCCCCGTCAACGGGATTGATCCGGGTAGCCTAAATCAGCATTGAACCCAGTTAAGCTGAGACTATAGTTGAAATTCACAGTGGTGTGGTGGTGAGCGCGTTACTCTCCGGAATGAACAAAGCGCGTCCGTTCCCCACCGCAGACACGTGCGGTCCACAGTTTTGCCAATATCTCAGCATCATTGTGGTTGTTTCACTGCACCTACATTGACTCAGTAGATTCTCCATGCGTTCAGCATGCAAGTTCTAGTGGTCAGATGGCAGTGCAGACTAGTGTACCTAAACTGTTAGGACGAAAAGTTGTATACCCTTAAACCATGGAGAATTGAGAATGCGCGTACCTTGTGGTAGTCTTTCTAACGCAAAGTACGTCGCCATCTTAGCAAGCATTTTTAGAAAACGTAGGACAGTGCGCTGAAAATGTTAAGAGTTACACTAGGGGCATACACCAATTTTTTCATTCCTTCAATGCTTTTGAGTTGCACTATTTATTCTGGTTCTGTCCATATCTGTTAGTCTTCCTTCAGATACACTTTATTTTATACTTCTTTGCTTTACTTTTTTAATCGGCTGGTAGCACAAGCGATTCTATCGATTCTATCTGGATAAGTAGTAAATCGAAAGCTAAGCTTAATTTGTCTGCCGCCAGCGCCGCTCGAGCGTAAACAATTTAATTTTTCGAAAGACCAACTTTCTATAAACCTCGGCATAGATAGTTGATATATTTATTGATGTGATCTTATAAACTGATCTTCTTAAGCTGACGCGAGGTTGGTACAGGTCTTCGTTGTCGTTGTCGTTGTTTTTGATGCTGTTGGTCGATGGCTGACGTTTCGGCGACTTCGCCTTCCTCAGAGCCGTGATGTTACGTGCGGGAGTCCTGCGAGACTAACATCACGGCTGTGAGGAATACGAAGTCGCCGAAACATCAGCCATCGACCAACAGCATCAAAAACAACGACAACGACAACGAAGACCTGTACCAACCTCGCGTCAGCTTAAGAAGATCGGTTCATAAGATCACACCAATAAATTTAATTTTTGACTGACAATTGACTATTATTTTACTTCATACTTCTGGGGTGATTCAACTCTATCGCATTGGCGTGGCTTATGTAAGAATTGTGAAGAAAGCGTGGAAATATGCTTTACGTATCATAAGAGACTACCAAATGGTGACATAGTGATGAACGAGTTGAATCTGTTGGAATAGTACAAGGTTACATAAAGTAACATATAGGTTAAATGGAATTTGAAAAACAGAAATTACCCATAAAGGGTACAGAAGAGACAAACTATAAAGTGGAAAAGGACTTACTTCAGAGCCACCAAAAACCAGAAAACATACATCACGACCATATATGTGCAAGGCCTACCTTTCACTGAGTTTTCGACTTGAAACGCTTCTGATTTTGCAACCAGTGGAAAAACCACGATCTATTCACGTACACTATGAACTGCGACAAACAAGAAATGTCCTACAAAGATATTTTTGAACCAGTGATGGAAAGACAGCTTTAGAGCTTTGTTGTGGTTTTGTTTAGATAAGGTACGCATTAATGTGAACTTTCCATGTTTTGGAGGAGGTAAAATCTAGCAAAACGTTGAAAATAAATACTGCATTTAATAACCTCACATCATTCAATGGTGGGTAAGAGAACTTCTTAGCCAAAACTGACAACGGTAGTGCTATTGCATGGTCATCTATGAGACGTAGTGTGTTATACGATCAGATTTCTTTCTACAGCAGCATTTTTGGAAATACTTTGTTTTAGGAGCTGGATGAGACTCACTTATTTATCGACCGCGAAATAGTGAAGATTCTGGAGGAAAAATTGGATCACTTAATGGAGCAAATGAATCCAGAGTTGAACGAGAAATGATTGAGGTTCCTGGAAGTATATGCGTTTTTTATAACAATAATAGATTTTTATTCAAGTCCTGTGTTCATATGCTGTACTTTTAGACGTCTCCCCATATGTTTTCCCAGCATTATTTGTAATGTTCAGTGGCTATCCTGTTTTCCAAAGTATATATATATATATATATATATATATATATATATAAAAGGTAGGATGAGAACAAAGCCTTGGCATTGCTCATCTTGGCGACTCCAATAGACATATTTTTGGTCAGAGAAGACCCTTTCCTCTTCATTCTGAGTTTCTTCGAGCATGGAACTGGTGTCTTTGAAACTCTTACGAGCGACTGGATAGCTCCGCAGGAGTGATGGGTCTTTATTTCAGAACTGAATATTATGATCTAAAATAGTCTTGTTATTTAGCCTTCCACCGCATTCATTTTTTTCCGTGGTTGGTGCTTTTTTGAAATTAGCAGAACGTTGTGGATGTCATAACTTGTTTTTAGCTCCTATGTAGCCTTAAGGCACAATGACTGGTATGAGTTGGCTTTAACTTGTCTTACCTCCAACCATTTATTTTACCACACAAGTTTCTTTGTCTTGTTTTTGTGTTCAGTCGGATAGCTTATGTATTAGAAATGCTGTTCCAGGCGTTGTCTCAGGTAGACTACTGGCTACACATATTCAAACTTTTATAAAAGCTTTGCAAAGAAGCTTTTTTCCTGAGAGTTCTTTCATGTCTCTATCTATTATAAACTCTACTGTGCATTGTGCTGTTGAGGAGTGTTAAATATCTCCTCGCCTACTTGCATACTGGAGCTCCGACGTTTACTTCAAAAGAGCACTTCATTGATATGATTTCGCAGTATATCACCTCTATCACCTGTAGTTCCGTTGATCGTCGAGTAACTCGAGAGGGCGCCAACAAATCTTCCATTTTTCTCTGTCGCGTGCGAGAGTAGCCCAGTGGGTTCTGCTCGCTCTAGGGACTCGTCGAGCATTATATCTTTCTTCAAGGCTCTTTGTGAGGAACTCTGGCCATCGGGTCGGTGGTCTTCTTGCAGTGCGCTTGACATCTCGAGGGATCCAGTCGCTAACGGCTCTTGTCCATCGGTTGTCGTTCATACGCATTACGTGTCCGCTGCACGTTATCTTCGACTGTTTGGCGTACAGAACGGCATCTCGGATTATTGATCGTTGACGCAGATCGGAGCTTCGGATGCCATCCCTTACTTGTGTGGAACGGGATGTTCCTAGCATCATCCTTTCGACTGCGCGTTCGATAACGCTAAATAACCTTTCATCCTGCTTACGCAGCGACCAGGTTTCTGACGCATACGTTAGGGCAGAAAGTACCGTTGAGTCGAAGAGGTGGGCACGGAGTTAGATTCCGTTGAGCGTGAATGGGGCATGGCATGCGAAACCAATCCGTTCTTCATGAACATCGTTTTTGTGAGATTTGGTCGAAGACCAATCTTTCCACAGGCTTTATCAAAGTCGTCAAGCACACGTTCCGCCTCGCTAATGTCTGGTTTTATAAGGGCGAAGTCATCAGCGAAGCGAAGATAGTTTAACTGCCCACCGTCGATTTTCAATCCCATCTTATCCCATTCCAATGTTCGCATAATGTTCTGGAGGGTGGTGGTAAATAAATTTGTCGAGACGGTGTCGCCTTGCCTAACCCCTCTTTTGACGTCAATGTTAATATAATTGTAAAATGGTGATATCTTGGTTATGAAATTTTTGTACAGCTCATGAAGAATCTTTATGTACTGAATAGGGACTCCTTGACTATCAAGGGCTACCAAGACTTCTTCTATCTCAACTGAATCAAAGGCTTTCTATAAATTGATGAAAGTGAGACAGAGCGGTCTTTTGTACTTTCGCGATACTTCAATGAACGGTGTTACCGTGTAGATGTGGTCCATCGTAATAAATCCTCTTCGAAACCCTGCTTTCTCACATAGCTGTCCTTCGTCTAGTGTTCTGTCAATCCTGTTTAGGATGACTCGAGTGAAAAGTTTGTAGACGACAGACACTAAGCAGATTGGGCGATAGTTGCCGATATCGTGCAGGTCACCCTTCTTGAACAATAACACGGTCTTGCTGGTCTTCCACTGAGTAGGGACGTTGCAGTCAGACAGGCAACGCGTGAAGAGCCGAACCAGTGCGTTTAGGAGGAATGGCGGAAGGTTCTTCAGGTGTTCTCGTCTTATCCAGTCCGGACCTGATGCTGTTCGATTTTTAAGCGACGAAATGGCATGTCGGATTTCGGAAGGGAGAACCGGTGCTACAACATATCCATCCTCCTTTATTTCATATGACGGAAGGTGGACGTGGCTATCGAAGAGATCCGAGTAGTATTCGTGAATGATTTCCTCCATTGCCTTTCTGGGCGTTGTAACCGTTCCGTCTGGACGTCAGACCGCAATCATCCTGATGTTGTAATTGGCAAAGGTTCGGTGGGTTTTGCCAATGCTTTTCCCAGCCTCTGCAGCTTCGGCCATTACTGCTGCTCTTCGCTCTCTAAGATCTTCTTTTATCGCCTCTCTGCATTGTTTTGCAAGTTCGGACGTTAGTTCGCGGTTGCCTGCAGCTCGTACGATTCCACGCTGGCGTATGAGCTCGAACGTTTCTGGAGACAGATGTCTCTTGGTGACTTTCGAACTTTGAGCTTTCATAGCGGTAGCGTGAAGGTGTTGAATGAGCCGATCGTATTCTTCGTCGATGTAATCGACAACGGCATCTTCCCAACAGCCGACTAATGAACTGAATAAATTCCAGGTTATGGTGGCTCTGGGGCTTCGGTTTTGGAATCTAGCGGCTTTTTCTCCTTTCCGCAAGAAATGGAATCTTGAACGAAGGAGAACCACGGATCTCCCTCATATGAGGGATCTCGAACCGGTTAGTGGCGAGGCTACGTGGCGCGTCCACAGGTGGCGGATAGGGGGTTAATCGCGGTCCAAGGGCTACCTTTGCTTTCCTAAGTCGCAGATGGGCTCCCTTTTTCTGCTGCGCTGATTTGGCACGTACTTTCTGTATGTGCTAGGCGTAATCATCCATGCCTGTGTGGGTGCGTTCTTACTTATGGGGATTGTGTTCTACGAGTCAATTCCGCCAAAAGCCTGCAATCAAGTGACTGGGCGGTATATGGGAGGCGGTTAGGAGTCGCCTCCGACAGATAAGCTCCATGTCTACTCCAGGAGATCCTGGCAAGCTACCCGTGAGTATACCCAGCCCCACGTTCAGAACCCAACAAGCTTTACATGGGTACAAAAAATGCTAAACACAGTAGAGAAAACGGGCCTCATTCCCCTGACCTCGAAGGAGTCCACAAGTTCGCAGCGTTGGGTAGGACGAGTACGGAGAGGCTGCTAAAATCTCAGGACCAATGGAAGCTGCCTGGATCTCAAAGAACTATGGTGACGATCTGTACTGGTGATATGCACGTACACTTGCATCCGAGTCCTGGATAGAAGAGTTGTCCATGCAAGCAATAAGGATAAGGTACGACGTCGTCGGCCTGGCCGAAACGAAAAAACGCCAGCCTTTCAACGCCGTCTATGACACAGGAGAAGAACTGTTCCTCGGAACATGCGACAGTAGAGGAGTCGGTGGCGTCGGCGTTCTCGTCAACACGAGATTGTCCATGTCCATTCTTTCGAAGAACTTATAACCCAAATCGGATGTTTACGATTAAGAAGACGTAGATCAATTCCGGCATCTTCGTCGTTTACGCGCCGACATCAAACTATGACGAAGAAGAAGTCGAAGCGTTCTATAGGGACTTGGATAAGTTCTGCAGAGAGGACCACACATTCTTCAAGATCATCATTGGAGATTTCAACGCCAAGATTGGACCAAGAAGAACGTCACATTGGGACCCACGGCTTAGAATTGAACGAACAGGGTGAGCGGCTGTCTGTGTTTATCGTGGCGACCAAGACAATCCATGGTAACTCGAAATTCGAGAAGCCCCACCCTTAGCGCTGGATATGGGAGTCTCCCGATGGAGAGTACCATAACGAAATAGACAACATTATAGTAAACAGAAGGTTTTGATTAACCGATGTCGCTGTTGTCCCAAAATTCTACACGGGATCAGACCATCGTCTCTGCAGGATATATCTTTTAAAATATTGTGCTTCGTCGTCTTAAGTTTTTTTAAAACATAGAATTTTCGCAACTTGAGCTTTCACGGTAGACCATTATTGCAATCTTAAAGCTTAATGCTTTCGTCGTTAATCAATCCCCGAAGGTTGTTCCATGCAGTAGACTTCAGCAAACATCGTTTAGGGTTGTCGAATGCATATTCGGCCTAAACATTGACTCGCGGTCGTCTACCAACGTATCGGATCAGTGCTGCTATCCTCGAAACAAGTCTAGTACTAATTTACCGACCCCGGAGCGAGGAGGGCTTGGTGGGTACTCAGCGCGTGATTTAGTCATCGACCGCTTGCGAATTGCAGGACACCCCTTAAGCACTGGGCTTCACGCGCTCTGACTTCAATCTGTACTCTCGAGATAATTGTAACACGAGACGTATCTAGCGTTAGTCTGTTTGCTGTCTACGCCAACAACTGCTGAGTTATTATACTTTGCCAGTGCCTTGCAACATCAAGCACAACGTTTCCACTTTTTTTGCGTTAGGTTATTGAAATGAATGGGTAGTTAAGGTCATGGGCACCATAAGATAGACTTGATCTTGAACTCTGTCGTCGCGATATTTTACGCGCTATGAATTACTTCCGCATCAGTGAAGCATGTCTGAATGAGACTAGATTAAAGGACATAGGTGTCCTATGGAGAGCAGAACTCGTATATATCTAAGCCATAAAAAAAATGACAGCTAATAGTTCCTCTAACGGTACAAAGAATTAGACGCCATCGTGGCACTCGTAACCACAGAAAGCTTTTCTTGATCGTAGTATTCGATAACTTACAGTCTTCGTGTATTGATGGAGGGCGGTGTTACGTGTTGTTAACGTCATAATAGTGCCAATTTTATCGTTCTATTTGGAC